CCGGGGACTGCTTAGGCGCGTCGTGGGGAGTGGGGTTTGGGCACGCGGAGTGACTGCTGGCTTGACTCTGGAGGCTTGTCGCTCCCCGACCTGTCCCTGGGAAAGGTGCGGCGTCACTGCTTAGGAACGCTGAACGCCAGAGCTGGTGTTCTCCAGAGCAGAAGGGTTCCGAGGCCTAGGCACACGTACTTGTCTTCCTTTCTGGTCGAGCTGGACCCTTCTTCAGAGCATAGACTTACCGCAGAGTAGTGAAATAAACCACCCAAACACACCCCTACTCGTCCTCCCCTCGCCGCGTGCTGACTTGAAGCGTTGTTGGAGGTTGGTGCTAATACAACTTTCGCTTTCAGGGACTGACACTGACTTTGGAATCCAACGCACTCCGAGGATGTGATTGGGCAGCTCCGTCAACACTCAGCGAGAACCACTGAACAGACTTGAATGAACACCTGTTGTCTGCCAGACCTTGCCGTGGCTGCTCAGGGGCCTCTGCCTTATAATTCTGCTTGTTAACTGAAATACACCTAAGCCTGGTAAATGGAGAGTCCAGGAAAGAATGAGCGATCCTGGGAGGACAGAAGTGCAGCGGGGTTAGCGCTGGGGAGGGCAACCTCCGGATAGGTGGCTTTTCTCATAGGTGGCATTTCTTTCTTTCTTTCTTTTTTTTTAAAGATTTTATTTATTTATCCGACAGAGAGATCACAAGTAGGCAGAGAGGCAGGCAGAGAGAGAGGAGGAAGCAGGCTCCCTGCTGAGCAGAGAGCCCGATGCGGGGCTCGATCCCAGGACCCTGAGATCATGACCTGAGCCGAAGGCAGCGGCCTAACCCACTGAGCCACCCAGGCACCCCATCATAGGTGGCATTTCTTGAGGCGGTGCTAGAGGTAAAGGAAAAAGGAGGGTCGGTGGGGAGGTCCTGGGGAGGATGGACTCTGCTCAGTGTTTCAGTGTGGAAAGAACTAATCAGCGAAGTGTGTTTTAGAGCCCAGTTTCTTTCATCCGCTGCTACAGGATTGGAGAGTTCAAAATTCCCCTAAGTAATGACAGTAAGAGAATGGTAGTTTTTGCCTCCAAACCCGGCTTAACACAAAAGAGACGGTGAAATTAGATGATGGTAGTATGGTGGGTTTGTCTTGGCTTCATCGGACTAGCTGGGTGATTTGGTACAAGGTGTCTTACTTCTGATGCCCTTCCTCCTACAGACACTGTGAAGATTAAATGGAAGGCCCTTGGAGGAGTGTATGGCACGTAGCTAAGTACCAGCAACTCAATAAACTGTTGCTAGTTATTCAGAACATATCACAAAAAGAATGAATCCTAATGTAAACAATGGACTTTGGGGATAATGTTCTGTCCACTTAGGTTCATCAGTTGAAAAAAAAAATACCCCACGCTGGTGCAGGATGTGGATAATGGAGGATTTGGGCTTGTGTTGGGACAAGAGTATACAGAAACTCTGCACTTTCCATTCAGTTCTGTTGTGAACCTGAAACTGTTCTAAGAAATAGTGTTAATAAAATGTTAAAAAAAAAAGATGCCACGTATGATTCTTAATTGTTGAAATATTGTTACGTAACTGTGTAGCACTTTATAGATTTCAAGAGCACCCTTTGGCACACTTTCTCATAGCCTCAATTTTAGAATAGGTAGAGCAGGAACATTGGGATGACTAGTTTAAAAGTGATGCATAAACTCTGGCCTTTTAGTATAGCGAATTAGAAAAGAAGTACATTTAAAAAATCTAATCCTAAATTTTCTGGTTCAGGATCCCCCCATGTATGCTTAATTCTTTCATCTATTTAATACACACTACTCAGTTTTTAACTTGGTTGGCTGTTTTGTGTGTGAGTGGTAAGTCACATAATCTACTTATTGGTGGGTCAGGCATACCTAATGTTATTTGAAACTGGTGCAGGCCCCTCAGATAAACTGGCCTTAAGAGGATTTTGTGACTATTTAAGAAATATGTGGGCTCCCTTATCTCAGGGCAGCAGCTGTCCTAGGGTGTCCTGAAGTGGGTGTGGTAACTGTTGAGGGAGCTGGCAAGCTGTGACCACATTTAGATTTCCACCAATAGATTAAAAACTTAAAATAGGGAAATGTTCAACATTGCACTTCGGGCCTTAGTTTCAGGGTTTTAGACATTTAAAAGTGTTTTTCCTAGTTAAGACCTCACTTGATCCTCGCTACTCTGTGAAAGGGCAGGTGTGACTTCCATTTTATAGGCACGGAAACTGAACTGCCATGAGGTTAGGAGGATTGCCACACTCTCAACTGGAAAACTGGCAGAGCCAGAGACCCTAATTAAGCCTAGAATTCCACCCAGGGAAGCGTGCTAAATTCTTGACTGCTGTTGTCTAAACAAGCCTACTTTCAAAGAAAAAAGTACTAAGTACATCTTTACAATTTTATGGGAGTTTGTTGAATTCTGTGAACATCTGAATCTGAACTTTTTTTTTTTTTCCTAACCTGTAACACCGTGAACCCTATTTACCCAGGATTTTTTCCCACTCAGTAAAGATTTTTTTTAAGTAGAATCATTTGTGAAACACATTTGAAAATGAAAAGTAAACTGAAGTTATGTCAGAACATTTTAGTGACATCTCTAAGTGTGCACTCTGCTGATTACTGTACACACTGAGCAAGGGATTAGAGTAGACAGGGCTGTAAGAATAGATTTCATTTTCTTATGTGTTCCTGGGAGAAAGAGGAAATGAAATTGTGCTAGTGGAGCATTTGTGGAGCTTGTGGAGGGACAGGCCAGCTGCATCTGAATGATAACTAGGAGCTGGCCTCAGCATGGAGCAGATGCACTTGTCCCCGGCTGGGGCCCTGAGAAGGGGCTGTGACCAGCGCCCAAGTCAAGGTTCATCCATTCTTCAGGTCTGGCAAACACTGGTCACTGTCCCATTGATCAGTGTGAGGAACTGAAATTTACCCAGGAACTAGAATAAAATGTAGGAAGCTTTTTAACATTCTTAAAAAGATATAAGGAAACGTGGTTTCCATGAAAAGGAAAATAGTAAGAATAAACTTGAATGAGAGGAAAAGGGAAGGTGGCTGAGGTACGTTGAGGATGATTAGAAGTGAAATGATGAAATTCATGTGAGACAGAAAACAGCAAAATGACATAAAAAATCCAGCCAGTCATGTGGAGATTAAATTTGAGTTCTCCTAGGATGAAGGAAAAAGATGATGGAGAAATAATGAAAAAAGACAAAAGTATTTTTGAGGGGGAAAAAAAAATAACATACTTTTCCAAGTTGAAAAAAAAACAACCAAAAAACCAAACCGGGCTAGGGAGATGCATGGGATTTGCTTCTGTTTTAGCGAAAAGTCACAGACAAAAAACTTACAGGGAAACCTCTGCTGAGGTATCCAAGCAGAAAAATAAAATCTACAAGGGAACAAAAATTAGACTGGCCTCCGATTTCTGCTATCATGACAGAAGACAGCATTAATAGCTTTTCAAAGAAAGTGTGACAAGAATTGTGTGCCCAGTCAAGCTCATTTTCATGCTGAAGGCAAGAGAAATCAGAAGAGCAGCTTCTGCCCTGGGTACCTAATTCATGCGGTTAATTCAGGTGTTTGGGTTTGTCCAAACTGAGTGAGGAACAATCACTAAACCCTTCTACCACAACTTCCCAAATTCTGTAGGTAATTTTGATAGGATTCTTCTTTAACTGGAGTATGTCTTCAAGTAGGTGAAAAGAAGGGCTCACAGGTGCTATTTTCTGAGCCCTCTCCTAGCCGGGAACGCTCGCCCAACAAACACTCTCCCCGTCCTTCTCTGTCTTCATCCACCAAGCCTGTGCCTCTCCTGTGGGCATTCCCAGTGCTTGGCACACAGTGGGGTCAATGAACAGTAAATTGCTCGAGCACGAGATAAAGTAGAGGGAGTATAAGATAAAGAGGAGCAGATTTATACTGCCCTCACTCCATCTGGTTTCCTCATGAAATTTAGGACTCTTGCTAGAAAGTAATGTGGATAAAATTACCGGTTGAAATTCTGGTTTTATTTCAAAATGATAAATAAACCGAGGCATTGTTCTGACCACATTCTACTTCTGGAGGGCTTGTGGAGTTAGAGAAACAGTTCCAGGGGGGCTCCAGTCAGACCCAGAATGACACCAACCAAACTTGTGATTGGCAGAGATGGCCTCTTTAATCCTCAGGGATATTTAAAAGTTCTCCACCCTAATTTCCGAGTATCATAAAAAGTAAAAAGCACTTCTGTTTTGTCATTTTTCCTTTGAAAATGTTTTTAGCAGCAAATAGGACTCCTTGTATTCCTTATTTCATTTTTTTTTTTTATGAGCACAGTAATTCTATGTCAACTTACTTAAAATTAGGGAAAAAACCCCAGAGCCTCTCAGTGGCGCTGCTTGACCCACGGAAGGCTTGCATAAATAGGTGCTCATGTTCACGTTGTCATTTCTACAAATATCAATAAAATATGGTTTGTAAATTGTAAATACAGTAGTAGCAGTTCACACATATTTGATATGCTTTCACACAAGGATTCAGTAAACAATAAATATAATTTCCCTTCTTCAAAACAAAAAAGGGATTTGTAGGTGGAAAAAAAGGGTTAATTTACTCTGGGTGTATCAGCACACCACTTTCAGTGTGCTTTGAAAGAATTAAAAACCATGAAATTGTATTCACTGAATACTGGCCCACAGTTATACTTTTTTTTTTTTTTTTTAAGCTTGGCCTAAAAAAACAACAACAACAACAACAAAAAAACCCCAAACCTGGCTTAAATACATACATCATGGCTTTCTCTTAAAATCCTTACATCTATGGGGATTCGTGGTACCTGGGACTGTACTAAATTTTTTTTCCTCATTAACAATTTCATTAAATTAAAAAAAATCTGACATTTCCCTTAAATGTTAAGTTGAAGCCTGATCTATGCTGCTATGTCCTGTGAAATGAACCTAATTTCAAAGTGAATGGGAACGCCTGAGTGGCCATTTAGAGTGCTGCATTTTTTCCTTCCCTCATGATTCCTGCTGGGTCCTCTTCGCTGAGGCTTTTCCCTGAGTCATATATTTACTGGAAAGGCTACCTAGAGGGGGGGAAAAAACAAAACCCAACATAAATAAAACAAGCCTCACTTTATCACAAAAGCCACAAAATTACTTCTTATTATTACTTATTTACAGAAACTTTTCACACTGGTACTGGTCACTTATTTTGAATTGAGTAAGCAAGGCTAGATATAAAAAAGGTATGTAAGGAACATGATCTATTAAACACAAACCTAGTCAAAATTCTTTCTAAATGCAGGAAGGTTGCTAGAGTGACATCATTCTCATCACTTGTTTCCATGTTGGTGCAGAGGGCCAGGTGGACTTTTTGAAACCTCTGCTTTGCATACATCAGTGTCTTCACTTACAACCACACAGGACAGATTGCAACAAATTCTTTGGCTAAAAATAAATATCTTGCATCATTACTTTGCAGATATGAACCTATGAATGGTGACATTCTAGCAATACCTTATTGATACAAAAGAAAAAAGGAAATTTATTATATTTACAGGTAAAGGACAGAAATGTGGATTACTAATTAAAGCCATACTACAGAAGACTTAATAAGTTTTGTTCTGGAGTATAAACAAATAGATCAATGAAAAGAAAACTGATAAATTCTTAATTATGTTTCAGAAAGTAGTATTAACAAAGGTTACATTTCTAACCAATGAGGTAAAGTGGATTGTTCAACAGCTGGTACTGTGTCAAATAAGTCATTTTGGGAGGGAGAGGAGCGTTAGTTTTCCTTCTTTTCTTTCAACATACCCTTCCTCTCCACCCAATTCCAAATGAATTACAGAATTAAACATAAAAGCGCCAAAGTATAAGAAGTAATGATTATTTATATAATCTTGGGGTGGGGAAATTTCCTAAGCACACCACCTTGCCCTATGAGAAAGACTTGCTGAGCTTAGTACTAAAGCAAGTCAATAGGGAAAAGATGAACACCGACATACAGCTGGGGAAAGAAAAACTGACATACGAAAGGGGATAAAAAAAGCATATTGAGTATATATAAAAAACATTTAGTATCAATGAGTAATCAAATGCAACTTAAAACAATTTTTGATCATCAAGTTGAAGGAAGGTCAGAAGGACAGAGAGGTGGGTTGGAGTTTTGCTAAATGAATAGTCATAGAAATCTTACCATAACTGAGGTATGCAAATAACTTAAATGTTCAAAATTTGTGATATGAATGACTAAGTATATAATAGACACAACAGAATACTAGATTTGCATAGAAGAATAATTACTAATACAAAAAGTAGGTTATAAAACCACATGAATAGTATTTTCATAGAAACTAAAAATTAAAGGGGCGCCTGGGTGGCTCAGTTGGTTAAGTGTCTGACTCTTGATTTCAGCTTAGGCCTTGACCTCAGGGTTGTGAGTTCAAGCCCTGTTTTAAAAAACAGTAAAAAAAAAAAAAAAACCACTAAAAATTAAAAACAAATGAAAAATCCTATCAATCCAATGTTTGGTGCCTCATTGTCCTTATCTGAAAAAATGTGAGCTATTACACCTGCCCCCTTGGAATTATTCTAAAGATTAAATAAACTGATACAGGTAAAGCAACTGAACAGTAGCTAGTACATAGAAAAGTACTCAATAAATGTTAGCCATTATTAGTACATTGATGTGAAAAGATGGGAAGACTTTATTTCCCAAACCTAAGTAGTAGTTATGCTCTAGAATGAAGTATAAGTGGCTTTTATTTTATTCATTTTTGCTTAACTATCTACATTTACTAAAGCAAACATATTAAATATGCAAAGAGAAACTTGTGCCTCCCCCAGAAGCAAACTTTTCAAAGCAGAGCATCCAGATAGTCAACGCACAGTGAAAAATGAGTGATACCAGGAAGGAGCACAGCACTCTCCCGTGGTATTTATACTCTAGAGCCTCCAATGGTCTATAGGCAACAAATCTTTGATATTCTGAACTGCCTGAAGTATTGAGGATAGACTTATCATTCCAGGGACAAAAAGTTTAGATCACTACACCTCATATTTCACACACAATTCATAGAGGTTCAAGATCTAACCAGAAAAAAACAAAAGTTTTAAAGCTGTTAGAAGAAACTATAGATGGATATCTTTATGAACTCAGGGAAGAATTTCTTAACGATGACCCTAAAATCACTGAGTGACACGACCATGAAAACTAACCATGGAAAATCCATCACCGATTACCTCAAAATTTAGAACTTTGGAGTGGCAACAGACACAAGTTGAAAGACAAGATATGCTGGAGGAAGATATCTGGAATGTATATAATAAAGGAGTAGTATTCAGAATAAATGAAGAATACTTACAAATTAATAAGGAAATAATAATGCAACAGGAAAATAGGCAAACAATAGGTATAGGGATTTTACAGAACTCCAACTGGTAACAAGCACAAAATAGGCAAATGATATGAACAGGGAATTCATGGAAGAGTAACTCCAATTGGAATAAACATATTAACAGTATCACCAGAGTCAAGAAAATATACATTAGAATAACACCAAAGTATTTTTCACCCATCAAATTTGCAAAAATAAACACTGCTGTTGGGAGTGGCAATTATTCCAACCAATCACTTGATAACCTAAGTTGAAAATGCACATACACTATGACTCAACAGAGTTTGACTTCAAGATACACAAATGATAAAACCTCTCATACATGCTCAAGGAGCTTCAGATGAGAAAGTTCAGTACAGCACTGTTTATAAGAGCAAAAAACCGAACGCAGTCTAAATGCTCATGTGCTACGTAATGGATAGTATGTTCTGTATTCATAGATAGAATACTGGAAAGAAATACAACTAAGTCTATATATAGTGATCTATATAAATTTCAAAATCACTTCATTAAATAGATATGAAAAAGCAGGGTGTAAAACATTCTTATTATACAGTACGATGCATCATTTAAATTACAAAATTCACCAATGGTATGTATGTTAAAGGGTACATATGTAAGTTTAAAAAAAAGAACTGGAAGAACATCTGAACTCCTAATAATAGATGCCTCTGGGGTGGAGGAGCGATGAAGGATGGAATGGGTCTGGGATGGTGGTCAAAGCCTGACTTCGACCATCTTAATGATCTTTTATTGAAAAAAAGAGAGAAGAAAGTAAGGAACAAAAAATAAGGTCAGTTCTCTAGTAGATGAGTTTTATATTTGTATATTCGTATTTTTCCCAACATGTTAGGAAACCACTCTTTTCGAAGAATAGTGCTTATAGTCTGATGACTACATAGCCTGTATAAAAAAATAAATCATACCTGAAGAAATTTCATATAAAAATGTGCATGTAAAAAAGTAAACCCACTAGAAATAAAACATGAACTTTTAGGTACTCTGAGGGAAGAACATGAAATTTATAAAACTCTGGAAGCATGACTTGAAATCACCTAAAAATTGGCTAGAGGAAACGACTACAACAAGCAAGCGACAAACTATATGGCAAAACAAATCATAAATGAGACTGAAAGATTAATAAACTGGAGTGGTGGCAGGGAAGGACAGAACATGTTTGCTAAAGGACAAATGGATTTCTATGCGGAAACTAAAGCTAAAAACAGAGATGATTACCCTAGTTAAAAAATACAAAGATAGAAGCATGAAGAAATACAGTGAAAACATGTGAAAAGCAGGAGACTTCAACAGAGAATACAAGCCGATGGGCAAAAGACTACTCCCGTAAAGTGAGGGTCTGGGAAACAGGCAGTCAGAGACTCTCTGGGGTGGCCAACAATCCCCTTTTGGCATTGCTGGCATCATTGTGAGAAGGTGTGCCCTTTTAAAATCTATCATTCTACTCACTAGGAATTTATCCTGAGGCAATAACTAGGCAAATATTGCCTGATGGTGTTTGATGTAAACAGTGGTCTTCAAACTTGGGTACATGTAATCCCTGAGCCAACTGAACACGATGAGTGGGCAGGGGGCTTTTCGGGACTTGACTGGGGTGCCTCATGTCTACTGGATTCTTTCTGAGAATGCCTCTGTGGCCAAGGTTTTGGGTTGGTTTTCAGAAGGCACACCAGTCTTCCTTTCACAGTCCTCCTATTTATAGAAGAAAGGCATGTCTCCTCCTCATCCAAATCTTAATGTGGTATATGGCCTTGGGAAAAAACCCAAGGAGGCAGGAAGGAAAAGAAACGCTGGTTATCTGTGGTAAGTGTGAATGCCTCTAACAAAAATTCCAAATTTTTAGCTTTTGTGAAATTACACTGATAGGTGATGTTCATCGCAAATAATTCTTAATGATACATTACTATGTGATTTTTGGTCACTTCGTTTAAAAAGGAATAGCAATAACTGAATGACACTGTTGTAATACATTTTCCATTCCCAAAGAAAGCATATCTATTACTTTTAATACTCTATCATAAAGACTACTGGGGTTTCTTGATGTTTACCAACTATAAAAACAAAAAAGATTTGGGATAGAAATGATGAGGAACACTGTTTAATTCCTGTAGTATTGATCCAAAAACACTTGATTGTATGGAGAAAAATCCCATCTATCTCATTAAATGGCAGTCACTTTCAGTATGTAAACATAAATAGAAAAATCTTTTTCATAATTTTTAATCAAAAATTGTAACATTTGTTTTGATCAATTATATATTCTAATGCAAAAACTCAATTTAGAAGAAATTTTTACATTTTGATAAAAAAGCTTAAAAAATCAAATTTCTATAAATATTATTGCAGATAAGAAGGATAGGCTGATATTTATTGCAGATAAATTGAATTTGAGTCTTCTTTTTCTTTAAGATTTTGTTAAGTAATCTCTACACCCAAAGTGGGTCTTGAACTTACAACCTTGATATCAAGAGTTGCACACTCTACCCATTGAGCCACCCAGGTGCCCCTAAAATGCTTGAAATATATATGCTAAAAAATATACTACCTTAAGATGGAAGTAAAACAAAGGAATTCAAGGAGGAAAGTAAAATTTCTGCCTGTTAAGGAGCTGTAAATGAATGGTAGCCTATATGAAAAAGCAGTGATATATTAATTTCATTTGATACATTTAAGGCTAATTGAAGTTTTATTTTAAAATTTCAATATTTATTTTTTAAAAAACCTCAGGAATTATATGCTTTGCAATTTTGATGAAAATTTCAGATATCAACTTAAAAATATATAAGATACATGGGCTTTCTACATTTTGAGGGAAGAATATGAGAGCAAAAAAAGTTTTGGAGGACACTGATGTACCAAATATTTGAAAGCAGCTAGTCCATTAATAAGGAATAATTAAATAAATAATGGGCATGTTCATATACTGGAATATCGAGAAGGGTATCAACAAGAATGATCTCTACTCACTGATAACAAGGTGTCCCTATATTGTTTACAAAGGTACTTCTGTTATTTTATTTTACTCAAGAT